TTATTAGAAGCAAATCGCCATTTAAAAGTATTTTAAAATCAATCTGATCTTCATATGAAATGACAGACAATGTGACAAACAGAAGTGGAAGAAATATAAATCAGAGCGTAATTAAACAATGTTTACAACTACATGTACAAATAAGAGTCTTTGACACGTAATAAAATGTGCAGTACACTGCAAATGCGCTACATGAAGTTAAGTGGAAATTTTTTGAAGCCAGCTATAAATGTACCTGAAAATCCTATTGTTTGGTAGTTTGTGAATATCAGTGTAATAATAATTATTTGGGTTTTTGTTTATAGGTAAAATAGAGATGCAGTGATTTGTATCCGCGCTGGTGCGAAGTCTGATGGTCAGTCATAATTAGCATTGAAGGCAGTCAGAAAATTAACCAGCATCCGAAACTGTTTGAAGTGTACGGATGAAAATCTCCTGACAACTAGATATCCTCGAATTTGCAATTTTCTGATTTGGCTAAATTATTCAAACACAAATGGATTTTACCCCAGCATAATGACTNCGCTTGGGAGTTATTATTGACGAAACACTAAGTTGGGGTCCACATGTTGATTACGTAAGAAAAACAGTCTCATCTAAATTAGGTATGTTAAACAGAATCCGGAACTACGTCGGACAAAGTAGCCTGCACACACTTTTCATTAGCATAGTTATACCAACTTTAGAATACCTTTGCACGGTATGGGGAGAAAGATACATATCCCACAATACCATTCTTAACAAATGTCTAAAAAGAGCTGCACGGATAATCCTCAAATACACCTCTCTCACCCCCTCAGGGAAAATGTTTGCTACACTGAACTGGGTACCATATTCCGAGAGAGTTGGATCTAAAAAGACTGTTCTTGTTTTTAAATGTCTAAACAAATTAGCTCCTATGTATATGACAAATCTGTTTATGCCACTCACACAGATTCGTGAAACAAGATACTCAGTTAACAAGACACTTAAAGTCCCTTTAGCCAAAAAAGAATGCTACGCTCAAAATATGGAACAATTTGCCAGAGCAACTCAGAAATATAGACTCCTTAGGGACAGAACTACGCAAATCAGAACTACAGAAAACCATAACCAGTGCCCTGTAGTCCAAAATGCTGATCTATGGAGTTGTTAACTTGGTTACCGATTTTCATTGGAGCTGGATGGGGAATTTCCCCGTGTTTTTTCCATAGGGTTTTTTGTGCGGGGTTTTCGCCCATCCC